ATAAGAACAAAGAAAAAAAATTGAAGGAACAAAACAGCAGCAGACTCACAGAACCCAAGAACAGACTAACAGTTACCAAAGGGAAAGGGACTGGGGAGGATGGGTGGGAAGGGAGGGACAAGGGGGAAAAGGGGCATTACAATTAGCAGACATAATGTAGCAGGGGCGGCACGGGGAGGGCTGTACCACACAGAGAAGACAAGTAGTGATTCTATAGCATCTTACTATGCTGATGGACCGTGACTGTAATGGGGTATGGGGTGGGGACTTGATGGGGAGAGTCTAGTAACTATAATGTTGCTCACGTAATTGTAAATTAATGATACCAAAATAAAAAAATTAAGTAAGAAAAAGAAAGAAATGTGGCAGTTCAACTAATAGGCATAAAACAAAATTCAACTTGTTACTTGTCTTGTAAATTATTACTTAGATCAGAATATATTCCATATATAAACTAGCTTGCACGATTTTGCACAACAACCTGGTCAATTAGCAATGAGAATAAATAAGCCAGTGCTATGACTTAAAATACCAAGTTTTTACATATAAAATTCCCCAAGAACAACAGCTAGGCCCAGGTGAATTTTTAAAACTATATCAGCTTTAAAAGCAGATAAAGTTATCTCCATTCTACTGATGCTTGTGATAACTACAAGAAAATACTTACGTTGGAGTTCACTGAAGAATCCTTTCCTGCTTCTAGCAGGAGAATATCTCCCAAAGCCATTGCTTGGTTTTTAAAGCTAACAATACCCAAAGTAGTCCACAGAATCTTAATTTTAACTTCGCATTGCTGGTGTTCTAAGTCTTCCTTTCTGGGGAATACATCTAGTCTGGATTTCATATTACCAGTAACCCTTTTTAGTTTCATTGTGGAGACTCTACTTTTAAGAGACTAGTACTCCCATCAGAAATAAATTTAGCCCAAGAATGAAGTTAAAATAACCATCCATAGATTTATACCAAGTTTTACCCAACTTATTTTTATATACTCAAAGTGTAGAAAAGCAAAGTTATAGGCAAATCTCAAATACATAGATAAGCATTCCTATTAGTATTGAGTTTTACTTTAAGCATAATATATAATGTTATTTGTTCTATGTATGTCAAACCTTGAATGTTTATCAAGGTTAAAGAAGTGACAGTATGAACAAGCAAGTGCATGTGTACAGTAAAATGCAAAAACCTGAAATCAATTTTAGACTTTTTGCTGTTCCACTCAAAGAAACCAATCATGGGAGATTTTTCCTCTTCAAACTCTTTAGCATTAAGGTACACAAGACTAACTGGGACGTGAAAGTCAGCTCAATTATTAACCAAGTCTCTCTAATGTTTTCCTTTCCAGGGCACTATATTACCGGCCAGTAATTTTTCCCCCCTCCTCAGAAAGGTATTTTTTCATTGTGTACTTCAGTAATTCATCCTTATTTACCAGCATTATCTATCCTAAGTTGAATAGTGTCAATATAATTCCAAGGAGAAGTCTTGAGTTTCTGATATACTTCTAATTTTAAAATCAGTTATTAACAAAACAGTTTTTATTCTGTTATGATTTGATTTGTTTAATAAATATTTTGATTAACTATCTCTCCATGTTAAAAAATATATTGCTTAATGAAAAAAAGTGCTAAAATACAAACATTCAAAACAGGATTCTTTTTTAAACAAAGTTAAGAAAGAAAAAGAAGTTTCATTTCCTATATGAATTTCTGGTCATCAAACGTTTTCATATGGGTAAGTTTTTTCAAGAAAGGTAAAAAATGTTTCCATTTTCTCACATCCTAAAAGGACTGTCTTGTGCACCTCAGGTGCACACGTCTCACTTTGGAGATTAATTCTCTCAACATCATTGGCAACACACATTAATCATTATATAACCACTTTCTCTGTGACAGCGCCTGCATCTCCTATGTTTCACTTAAGAATTCTCTCACCACCTCTACCAACATAATTAAGGAAATACACTTTGGCATAGCATTCATCTGAAATAAAGCAGTGTAAAATAAAATCACTGGCTTACGTCTCCGAAGAACTTGGCTTAAGTTGTCCTGCATTGTTTCTCTACATTTGGGAAGAGTGTGCTCATTTGCTTCATGGATCATATTCTTCAAATTTTCAATAACTCGCATTTCTCGAAGACCACGTTTTTCCTATTAAAAGAAAGTAAATTACTAGTGCATATTGCGTCTTAAGTCTTTATTTACTACCTAGGGGTTCCACCCAGATTTTGGTTATGTTATTACTTCCTACTGAATTTGACATAGCCTTCTTTCTTCCAATTATTTGGGAGGAAATGAGGTCACAACCTGGAGGCATTTTTTTAAATTATTATGAAGTGCTCTAAAAGTTGCAATTTGAGTAACATTTTTATAGCAATGCTTTAAAATGGGCATGAGAAATTCTAAAGGAAAAAGAAGCTTACATTGTCACATATTCATTCTGTACAGCAAAGAAAGTAGGTATCCTTGATCTGATTTAAATTTTGTTGTGCTGACATCACATAGTTTCTATTATTATATGTATTTTTTTTCTGATTCCATTTTTCTCTAATAAAGGTGTGTGAAAAAGGTAGTAATAGAGAGATACTTTGCTCTGCAGAAAGGAGTTAACATTGACTGCTATACTTAGAAAGGCCTGCTTGCAAGGTGGGCCCTTGACTGGGCGCTAGAAACTTAACAGTAAGCAGTTCCCTACACTGGTGTCAAACTCTCTGTAGATAATAAGATCTTCCTGTCTGGGAATCTGGAATTTTGATGCTTGATAAGCAAAGATAGCCTACTTAACCAGACCCCAATAAAAATTCTGGACTCCTAGGCTCACTTGAGCTACCCAGGTAGATATTTCCTATGTGTTGCTGGGTGAATGAAGCTCACTCTGTGTGACATGACACAGATTTCTCTCCATGCACCAGTTCCCTTTGCTCATTTTGTGCTTCATCCTTTTGCCATAATAAAGCCTAGCCACCGGTATGACCATATGCTGAGTCCTGTTAGTGAATCACTGGGCATGGTCTTGAGGACCCCCAACACATCCCCCACCCTGAGGGTCATCTAGACTTATAGCGACTTGCTTGGAAAGAACAGAGTAGGGAAAGGGACAAATATTAACTTCACAGTGGAAACAAGTGAAGACTGACATCATCACTGATGTCATGGTGACAGCATGCACCCCCTGATGTAGTGTGATGAGAAGGGTACTTTAACTCTGGGGTACTCTTCCCAAAAACCATAACCTCAGGTTATTCTCAAGAAAAACATCAGACAAAACCAGACTGGAGGACATTCTGTAGGACACTGGCCAGTACTCAAGACTGTCAAGATCATGAAACACCAGTAAAGACAGAGAAACTGTCACAGACCAAAGAAGTCTAGAAACATGACAATTAACTGCAACATGGCTGCATTTAGATTAGATCCTGGAATAGAAAGAGGGCTGTAATGGAAAACTGCTGAAATTCAAGTCTGGTGTTTCATTAATAGTAATGTACCAATGTCAGTTTCTTAGTTCCTACCAATGTAGCACTTTAATGTAAGACATTAATAGAACTAAGTGATGCAAACTCTCTGTACTGTTAGAGCAACTTTACTGTAAATCTAAAATTAATACAAAACAAAGAGTTCACTAAATAAAGAATGGTGGTAGACTTGAATATAAGGAAGTAATAAGCTATGTTACCAGGATTTTGTTTTGTTTTGAGCCATTCTTATGAAGCCTCTGTGGTCATATTTTTACTCTAATTTTTCCATAATAAAAAATGTACAACTTATATAATGGTTGAGAAAGAACAAATAATGAATCTTCATGTACTCATCACCAGGCTTCAATAATCTCAACTCACAGCTGACTGTGTTCCCTCTGCAATCCTCCGAACATTCCCCTGCCCACAATCCCAGATTCTTTTGAAGCAAGTCCCAGTAATTTCAACTGTAAATATTTCAACATCTATCTTTAAAAGATAAAGACTCCTCTTCAGAAAGATACAAGACCACCTCTCTGCCCCCTCCTTTCTCTCACACACACACATATACACTCAACAATAATTCTTTAATATCATGGTAAATATTCATGTTCCCTCAAATGTCCCATAAATGTTTTTATTCCCTAGTTTGTTTAACTAAAATCTAAGTAAGATTAACAAATTGCAATTGGCTAATCAGTTTCTTAAATCTTTTTTAATCTATAGATTTCCCCTCTATCACTTTTTTCTCTTGCAATGTATCAAAAAAAAAGTGATTCTTTTGTTCTGCATATTTTCCCACAGTCTGTTTTCATTGAATTCCCATGATATAACATGGTCTCTTCATTTTCCTGTGATTTAGTTAGAACTAGAGGTATGATCAGATGTAGGATTTTGTTGTTTTTTGTTTGCAAGAATATTTCATTTCAGAGATTGGTAGTATACTTTCAATGGGATGTTGGTAGCATTCCAGCTTCATTTGTTAGCAGAAATACCTCTACAAAGAGAAATTTCCCCTAATCAACTCTTTAGTTACTCTGAGGAGTATGTTCATATATGAAAGGCAAAATAAAACACGACTATTTCCCCATATTTACTAATTTTAAAAATTATGATTTGGTTCCCTAGTATCCTCTAAAGGCTATTGTTTGTTTTTATGCATTCATATGATTCATAGATTGAAACATATTTGAAGACTTTAATCCATAATAGTATTTCTCTTTATTGGTGCTCAAATTGTACTATCTTTGTCCAGTAAGAGCGTATTCAAGTCAGCTCTGGAATGCTTTAGACAAAGCTCCAGTGTTCTTTAGTGTCGTCTTTGCTTTCTGATATGACCTGATGCCCCAGGCTTGTCTTGGACATTTCCCGCCCCAGACTTGGAATCAGCAGATCCCTAAGTACTGCCGATATTTAGAAATGGTTTTTAGTGCTCAATGCTACTGAGTTGGCCATTATTTCTAGAGCTTTCAGCAGACAAGGCTAGGAAATGGGCATTGTTTTTAAAAGAAAAGATACATTTTAAATTAGTAACTCAGTCAATTTAAATTAAAAAAAAAAACTTAAATTCAGACTACAGTGTTTTTAAATACCCTCCTATTTGTTTCTTTCCAGTTCTCAAAATGCCAACATATTTACTCATTTGCTTTATCAACAATTCAATCAAATAATAACAATACTAGCTTCAACAAAATGATTACTGAAAATAACTGAAGTTTTTTTTAACTTTTTGTTTTGAAGGGATATTTCACTAGGAATGTACAATCAAATTACTGTGTTTTAAAGTTACTTAGAACAATTTCTCAGTATGGTGATGCCACCACCTAGAAAATTTTTGAATTTTCACTTGGATTTTAGGGATTGCTCCTTAAAATTAAATTTTCTTTTCAATTATGTAAAATATTTACATGGCTCCAAAACTATATCTATAAGAATATATATACTCATTTACATGGCTCCAAAACTATGTCTATAAGAATATATATACTCAAACTAGTCCAGCTTCTATTCTTTACATCCTATTCCCTCACCACTCTTTCTTTAGGTAATTATTTAAAAATTTTTATCTTGCCATTGTTTTAAGTTTAAAGATATACATCCATATATGTGTATCTATACACACATGCATATATAAATGTATATATGTGTGTATATACACATGTATAAGTATACATATATTTTTTCCAATTCTTTCCTTCTTAAACAGAAACATGAAATACAAACTTGTTTTTTTATTGGAAGTATCACTGATATACAACATTATGAAGGTTTCACATGACCATTGTGGTTTCAACATTGACCCATATTATCAAGTCCTCACCACCCCTACAGCAGTCACTGTCTATCAGTAGAGTAAAATGCTATAGTCATTACTGTCTTCATGTGAAATATTACAGACTGCTCTCAATGTGCTTTATGAGCCAAATTCATAGACACACACAATATACATACAATCTTTATGTGCTCATGTTGTCCATCTGTTCTGTTTGGTATATCAGTATTTAGAAAAGTTGGCATTTTAGCTCTCATGGTTTTTATACTAACACCCTTGGTCTCCTCTTTTTTGCTTGTCTATTGGTTCCTTACAATAAGCAATATTAATAGCAGGTGCTCGTCTCTTCTTTCTCTAGGCTTTCCCTCTCCCTCAGGATCCAATTTGAAATAGTATGCTTTTATTCCCAGTTAACATTCATAAGGCAACCAGTGAGGATATTCTACTTTTCACACACCCTCCTCTCCTTCCATTTTCTGACAAGACTGTACCTACACTGTCAAAGCAGAGCTACTGCATGTGATACTGTCTCCCTTATAAGCATCATTTAGTCTTACCTAATATTTGCAAACTGTTGTCAGGCAGCAGTCTGTCCAATCATTTTGGTTGTCTAAAATTCATTGTTTATTATGTAACAGATGCCTCAGGCATGATCATTTGAACAATATTCCCAGTCTCGCATGACCCTAACAGTGTATTTGTGCTCCCTATACCTGGCAGTCAGTTTGGCTAGACAGAAAATCCCTGTTACTCCACTGTCTTCTGGCATAAAACAGATAAATCTATTAACAAGTGGGTTTTCTCCCCCTAAGAAAGGACTTAGTCATTTTGTCTGAGCATTATTTTTATTTCAGGGAAGTTTTCTTGAGTTCAAGTTCTTACATTTGTCCGTTGCACTGCCTTGGTTTTCATCTCTGAGGACTCATTATCACACACTGGATCTTCTGTAATTATCAGTACTTGCTTTTGAATTCTTTCTCTCTCTTTAGCCATCCTTAAAATTTTAAACATTCCTATTTGCAATTTCACTGAATGACTTTCCACTGTGTTTAATCACTATCAAGTTATTTCTAGTTTCATTTCTGAAGTAATTTAAGATTTTTTTTACTATTTCTATTTTATACAATCATTTCTGAGTTTTTATAATTCTGATTTTACCATTCTTCTGTAATTCTTACATTCCTTAAGTCATTTCAAATCAGGTTATAGTTTTTACCTTTTTTGTGGTCACACTTTCTTACACTCATTACATTAAAGGACATTATTTTGCTCTTTATCCTCTAATTTGTGTGGGTTTGACTCCTGCTGAATTATAATGGGGTTTCCTGTTTTTAGAAGGGAGGAGTGGTCGGGCCAGTCTTTCTAATTTCAAAGTTCTAGAACTCTCTTTTTTTTGCTGTTCACAAAGTGTTCAATTTCCT